AACAGACAAGACAGAGAGGGAGAGATGAAGACATAAAGATAAACTGAAAGAGAAAAGACTTACAAACACAAAAAAATGTTTTGACGATAGTCTGTTTCAATAAACAAAACAAGAATAATTATCCACAAAACTAAACTAGCACAAACACAAATTTTGGCAGCATCATCTCAAGTGCCTTGCCAACTGGCATGGGTAATTTTGCAATCTTCACAACATGCAATCATCTCCACAACATGGAATCTCCACAATATGCAATCTCCACAACATGGAATTTTCACAATATGCAATTTTCACAATATGCAATCTTCACAATATGCAATCTCTACAACATGCAATCTCTACAACATGCAATCTCCACAACATGGAGTCTCCACAACATGCAATCTTCACAACATGCAATCTCCACAATATGCAATCTCCACAACATGCAGTCTCCACAATATGCAATCTCCACAATATGCAATCTCCACAATATGCAATCATCTCCACAACATGCAATCATCTCCACAACATGCAATCATCTCCACAACATGCAATCTCCACAACATGCAATCATCTCCACAATATGCAATCTTCACAATATGCAATCTCCACAATATGCAATCTTCACAATATGCAATCTCCACAACATGCAATCTCCACAACATGCAATCATCTCCACAACATGCAATCATCTTGTGGAGCATGCAATCATCTGCACAACATGCAATCTCCACATCATGCAATCTCCACAACATGCAATCTCCATAATATGCAATCTCCACAACATGCAATCTTCACAACATGCAGTCTCCACAACATGCAATCTTCACAACATGCAGTCTCCACAACATGCAATTTTCACAATATGCAATCTTCACAACATGCAATCTTCACAATATGCAGTCTCTACAACATGCAATCTTCACAACATGCAGTCTCCACAATATGCAATCTTCTACAACAAGCAATCTCCACAATATGGAGTCTCCACAATATGGAGTCTCCACAACATGCAATGTCCACTATATGGAGTCTCCACAACATGCAATCTCCACTATATGGAGTCGTCTCCACAACATGCAATCTCCACAATATGGAGTCTCCACAACATGCAGTCTCCACAACATGCAGTCTCCACAACATGCAGTCTCCACAACATGCAGTCTCCACAACATGCAGTCTCCACAACATGCAGTCTCCACAACATGCAGTCTCCACAACATGCAATCTTCCACAACATGCAATCTTCCACAACATGCAGTCTCCACAACATGCAGTCTCCACTATATGCAATTTCCACAACATGCAATCTCCACAATATGCAGTCTCCACAATATGCAATCTCTAACAGCAAGTATCAGTTTGTTTGCTGCCACCTCTGAATGCCATGACAAGAGACTGAAGTATCTCCATTTGACACAACGTGTTCCAGTTTCCCTTTTCTCGTAACATTTCCACATAAATTACCCTTAATTTCTAAACCTTTGCCATGGCACTTTTTGTTCTATAACTAAGTACAACAAATATCGGCAACCAAAAAATGACACTGTAAAAAGGTGTCTTCTCAAGACTAAGTGGCAGACAGCAGTTTCAAATTTGTGACAACACAACCAGTGTTAGTAAACTCCGCCTACCACTTCAGTATACGGGTAAATAGAAAGAAAGGCCTGTGGCCCAAAGGTTTGGAATCAATCATCTTCATATATGCTGGGGCACAGCAAAATAACTTTTCCTGGCTCACCACATATCCATTCCCAGACAATTCTAAAAAGTATCCAAAAATACAACAACAAAAAATTATCTGTACAACTTTGATAAAAAAAAAAAGGAAACTTGTACATATGCAATCATTGTCAAAATATCTAGCACCAACAACACCAATGATTCCTATTAAAACATCAAGTACGAACATCACCATTAGCTATCATAACATCAACAGTCAACATTATCAGTAATTCTCAAAAAAAAAAAAACAAGCAAAAATCAGTAATGACTACTGAAACATCAATTAAAAGACATCATCAGTGGCTCTCCAAATCATCCAGTTTAAAAAATCACAAACTTTCTAAAACATTAAATACAAACAATATACACTAACAGATCCAGCCGACATTGTCAATTATCCATTTTTTTAAAAAAATCAGTGAAAATCATCACCGGTGATTCTCTAAAACACTCAGTAAAAGACACTAGTGGTATCCCAAACACTCACAATATAATGAACCCAGCCGGTGATATCACTTTGCTACTAATACTATTCTGTTTCACAGCAGTTTTTTTTTATTTAATAAACAATTGCAATTACAAATTGTACAACTGAAAACAGATATGTTGTGTATGTTATATTTAATTACCCCTTAACCTGCTACCCTGAGAAGAGTATATCTAGTCACTTTCAGATGTGACACAGTCCCATAAATGCCAATATACTGGCCTGTTTGCAGTGACCTAGTCTAAAAAAAAAAAAGTGTAGTTACATTCAATTGGTTCTATGTGCACCTGTGAAGTGTTTAATAGGCCAAGACATGAATACAATAACTAAAAATAGCATTCAGGTGGGTTTCTTTATGACCCCAACTTGATGTCAAATTTTTCCATTAGTCTCAGTGATATAGGTCACGGGTTCACAGCATGAGTGACCTGATACACTTTGTTTCTAGGCCCCAAGGAATGTATTCCACGTAATGCTACACTCTGTTCATGTTTGTTGTTCAACCCCACCAGGACCGTACAACTAGCGACCAACACTTGGTGACACAAAGTGCCACCATTCGGATTAGGATCACTCGGGCACAAGTCCCAGAAACCCCGATTAACCATTAAATTATATCAAGGCTGCCCGACTGCAGCTGAGGTAAGGCTTTAAAATAATAAAAAAAAACTGCGTCCCACACTGGAACAGGAGAACTGAGTTCATGTTTACTGATAATCCCTTTTATATATTTCGAAAATGTTTTGTCTGCAACTGAAGATAAATATTTTTTTTTAAATGTATTAGCAAACCATGTAAATGGTTTGGTTAAATTTTTTTTTCACATAATTTTTTTTCTGGGAATTTCCATGAGTTCATGACCAAATTTTTCCTCTTAGACAAAAGTGTTAAAGTTACGGATATACCAGCAGTCTGTGTTTGTTTCCCTCTTGTATCATAAATCATTTTATTGACAAGATAGCCTTGGTAGTGAAGTGGCTGGCATTGTTTACCTGCTAGCCTATGTTGGACTATTCTCGAAAACAGGGAATATTTTTAATTATCAAGTGTATTCAGCCTAAAAAATGGCACCAGGAAATGTTTTAGAGGTAAAGGGGGTTTGTGTGATACTGACCACATTAACCAACCAGTGCTGATTAGTCAATAAAATGGGGCTAGCACAATATGCCTAATAGCTCTGTGGGTGTAAAAAAAAGTGTTCTCTAGTACTTTAACTTTTAAAAAGTAGTAATGAAATAGTTATCCTCGGTCCTTTTCTTGCATTTGGAACACATCATGACAGAAACACTAGAAAAAAAGCATGAAACATCTGTATCCATTGGGGGAAGACCACTGTGTAACTTACATTTTGCAGACGACATTGTTCTTATGGCTCGGTTCCTAAGCAGAACTCCAAGAACTTTCTACAAAATTAGAGACAGTCAGCGCCTGCGGCATAGGTGTTGCAAATGCGCTTCATAATGCCGGGGTGCTGGGTTTGATCCTAGCTGCAAATGGTTTGTCTGGCGCTGGTTTCGACAGTGGTACTGAGAGCTGACCATTCAGGAAGCAATGGCAAACTACTGAACAAAACATTTGCCTAGAAAAACTACAACAGCCAAAAACACTGGGGTTGTTCTGCAATGTGCTGTAAAAGATATGCAACTTTTAACTGTGGTAAATATAGCATGGAAATTATTGCAGAGGAAAGCAAGATTCCGGTAAATAACCAGAATAATTAAGTACCTACCAACATACAGATACAAGGGTAAAAAACTACAAGAAGTTGAAACATAAGTAAAATGATGGCAGCTGTACCAAAGAGATCAAGACAAGACTTGATATGGCAATATCTGCAATGTCCCAGCTGAATACGATGTGGAAGAGCAAAATCAGTATATACAAGTCACTGGTATTGTTTATTTTCTTATTCGGATGTGAGAGTTGCACTCTCACAGTGAAAATGATTCAGGTTTTCAAATACAAATGCTATAGACACATTCTACGAATGAGATATTTAGAACATAAAAATAACAAATATGTCAGAGATAAAATATACAAATGTGCGGGACATCAAGAGCCTCTTTTAGCAGTGGTGAAACATCTCAAGCTAGCTTGGTTCGGGCATGTGATGAGACAAGGTTCAATTGCAAATACTGTATGTACTTCAAGTAACATTAGGAAGTTGTCAAATATTAGGAGGGCAGAGAAGAACCTGGAATGACCACATCAAGAAATGGACAGGACTAAGTTATCATTACTTATTCATTAAGAGAAACATGGAGGGTTTTGTGTGTTAGTGCTTCCATCGATACCCTCCCTGTGCTTCCATAAATACACCATCCACCCCCCCCCCCCCCATGCTTCCATCGATACCCTCCCCGTGCTTCCATCAATACCCTCCCCAACCTTAACAGGTCAAAGATTATCTTAGAGGCCAGTAGATCAAAATAAACAAAACTATTTCATCAATATAAGATATTAGTTTTTTATTTTGATCTACTGGCCTCTAACAGTCTCTCAAAAACAATACTGCAGGGCTTAGTAGAGGGAAAGAGGAGAAGAGGCAGACCAAGAAAGACCTGGTTACAGAACCTGACTGACTGGACAGGCCTCAGGCATGCAACCATAAAGTCCATCGCAACTGACCGCTAAAGGTGGAGAGAGCTGATCAGACAGTCAACAGAAACTGGTGAACCAACAACACATAGTGTTATGGGATGATGATCTGCTAGCAATAGCCAGAGCAGAAAAGTAACCAATTTTTTTGGCTTACAAGACATCAATCACCTTGTCAATTCTTCCCCTTCACATTTTTACTTAATATCTATTGACTATTCTCAGCAACTGCATCTATCGACGGCCTTCTTTTCTGGTGAGGTTTATCACATCCGTCAGCAGCTTTTCTTTTCGCCACAGACTGAAAATAGAATGAAAATTCAATCACAACCATAACTTGTTCAAATATATTTTTGTTTAAATCACAGGAGAAAAACATGTTGAAAACTAAAAACTAACAACTACAGTTGAAATTATAGTCACATCTTGTATTTTTCTTTTTCTGTTTGTTTCGCAATCTGAGCTTTGAGGTCACTGCTGCTTATATCACACACTTCCATTCATTTCTGTGACTGGCCTTCTCCAAGTGTCTGTAGGACTGCCTGTATATTATCCTCCACTGTCGTGTTAGTCTAGTCTATCTCATGGTGTTCTCCCATTGAAAACGTGGAGACAGGCATGCTCTGTGCAGAGTGGCAAGCATCGCTTCAGAGGTCCTGGGTAGTTAGCATCCTCTGGATACTTTCTCCAGTTGATGCCGGTGTGTTGGGAAACAAGCAGGCAGACAGGCTGGCCAGTTCTGCACATCTTGGGCGTGAACTGATGTATGACAAGCTAGATGTTGTGAGGTCATTTTGAGAGCATGTATACAGTGCAGAGATACAAACAGATCATTACGGCTTGCAGGAAGTTACCAGGAGATCTGGCTGACATTCAATATTCAAGGAAAAGGCGAGACGGATGTACAGTCAGACTGTTACTGGTACCATCAGAACTAGAACTCTTCACTTGCTGCTAAAGATGCTGATGGAGCGCTTATTGGAGTGTCCCAAGTGCTATGATGTCGACATCCTATTCAACTCTTTTCCTTATGCACTTTTTATCTCCTGATTATCAGCATTCTCTCTTTATTAAATTTACTGGATTCAAAAATTATATATCTAAACAACAATCAGTAGTCCCTTTACGGGACACAATTTTTCATTATTTTAAAGCCCCACCCAGGCTGTAGTCAGGGGCCCTATTCATTATTTTAAAGCCCCACCCAGGCTGTTGTCAGGGGCCCTATTCATTATTTTAAAGCCCCACCCAGGCTGTAGTCAGGGGCCCTATTCATTATTTTAAAGCCCCACCCAGGCTGTAGTCAGGGGCCCTAATATAACCTAACAGTCGAACAGGGTTTCTGGGACCTCTCCCCGGGTGATTCTCATCAGCATGGTGGCTCTTTGTGTCACCAGGTATCTATCGCTCGGTGGGTATCCTGGTAGGGGTTGAACCTCACTCACTTATAAATATAAATGAAATTCTTGCCATACTTAACACACAGCTACAACATTCAAGCCACGACTACGCCAAAAACATTAACGTAACTTACCAGTTTAATAGAGCCCATAGTATCAACTTAACCAGTTTAATAGAGCCCATAGTATCAACTTAACCAGTTTAATAGAGCCCATAGTATCAACTTATCAGTTTAATAGAGCCCATAGTATCAACTTACCAGTTTAATAGAGCCCATAGTATCAACTTATCAGTTTAATAGAGCCCATAGTATCAACTTAACCAGTTTAATAGAGCCCATAGTATCAACTTATCAGTCTAATAGAGCCCATAGTATCAACTTATCAGTCTAATAGAGCCCATAGTATCAACTTACCAGTTTAATAGAGCCCATAGTATCAACTTACCAGTTTATTAGAGCCCTTAGTATCAACTTACCAGTTTCATAGAGCCCTTAGTATCAACTTACCAGTTTATTAGAGCCCTTAGTATCAACTTACCAGTTTCATAGAGCCCATAGTATCAACTTACCAGTTTATTAGAGCCCTTAGTATCAACTTACCAGTTTCATAGAGCCCTTAGTATCAACTTACCAGTTTATTAGAGCCCTTAGTATCAACTTACCAGTTTCATAGAGCCCATAGTATCAACTTACCAGTTTCATAGAGCCCATAGTATCAACTTACCAGTTTCATAGAGCCCATAGTATCAACTTACCAGTTTATTAGAGCCCTTAGTATCAACTTACCAGTTTTATAGAGCCCTTAGTATCAACTTATCAGTTTATTAGAGCCCTTAGTATCAACTTACCAGTTTAATAGAGCCCATAGTATCAACTTACCAGTTTCATAGAGCCCATAGTATCAACTTACCAGTTTAATAGAGCCCATAGTATCAACTTACCAGTTTAATAGAGCCCTTAGTATCAACTTACCAGTTTAATAGAGCCCATAGTATCAACTTACCAGTTTCATAGAGCCCATAGTATCAACTTACCAGTTTAATAGAGCCCATAGTATCAACTTACCAGTTTAATAGAGCCCTTAGTATCAACTTACCAGTTTAATAGAGCCCTTAGTATCAACTTACCAGTTTAATAGAGCCCATAGTATCAACTTACCAGTTTAATAGAGCCCATAGTATCAGAATCTCCATACATTATTGTATTAGCTCTTGTTCTCATTTCATTATCCTGTGAGGCAGGTTAAAAAATTTTTTTTTAGAAAAGAAAAAAAAAAACTGGGTTAGAAAAAAAACTGGTTAAGAAAACAAAACAACAACTTGCTATTTGAATAGATTATGAAATATGACTTGTCAATTCTCAAAAAAATTTGGAGAAATGTTCTAATTCTATTTTTTTAAGGCTCAGCAGAAATTATATAAAGTACAAATTTTGTTTTGAGCAAGATACGCCAGAGTCAAAGGGTTGAAAAGCCATCTCCACAATAAAGGTTGGCTGTGGTATACCCTCTTGACCTGGTTGCACACTCATTGAGGAAAAAGACTGGAACTTCGAATTGAAATGTTCAAGAAAAATTCTAAGAATAGTATGGATCAGGAAAAGAAGTTGAACATCAAGGAGAACTGGCTCATAAACAGCATCCTGTCACGAAAGTTGAAGTATTTTGGCCACATCAAGCCTCATGGTGGCTTGGGAAAGACGGTGATGGAAGGTGCAGTTTGTGGAAGGTGAGGCAGGGGTCGACCACCCGGAAGATGGAAACAAGACATTAAAGATGCATTAGCATTAAAAGCACATGGGGCCGGAGAGCTGGCTAGGGAAAGGGATACTTTCAGGGGTGCTATGAAGAGAGTGACGTCCTGTAAAGGACCTGCTGACTGATGATGATTTATGAAGACTATATCAAGAATACTCAAACTCAAGTCTTTAGGAAAATATCCTGTTTAGAAATAGTGAGCATAAAACATGTGGTCAAATTAAGTAAAGACTTTTTACATTTTACTTTCCGTGGTGCCTCAGGCATATGATGCTAGATCCATATTTTTAATAGACTGATCAACACTCAATGGGTGAGGAAGTCAACATCGAAACGACTGCTTTTACTTGCCAAAACTTTACCTGGAACCCCTTTTAGACTGGGTTGACTTGTGAATGAAGGTAATTTTAAAATAAAATTCAACTTGATGTGGATTTGAACCCAAGACCTTTAGGCATCTAGATCGACACACGGCTTCCTGTTAAAATGGACGCTAGACAGCGGCGCTGTTCGGAGCGGAGGCAAATGTTTTGCTTCTGTCGGACGGTGGCCGATGCATTTTTGCTCCATTTGTAGACTGGATATAGTTTCGTCGCCCAGCTTCTGAGTTGAATGCATGGCGTGACCCTGTGAGCTGCGGATTGCATTTCGGAATGTTTTTTCGACCGTGACCAACGTGGTGTGAATTGTAGATTCAGAAAATGGTGCGATGCCTGTCGTGCGATGCTGGCGGGGCCCGTATTAAAATTGATCGCACGGGCAACTGCTGATCTGTTGACGAAAGATGATGAACTGCATTTCTAATGTTGGACTGTTTGTGTTAGCACTTCGGATGGCTACCATATGCGTTAATGCGAGTGTATGCTAGATATGCTGAGACAGCAGTCTGTCAATCTTTCCACAAGGGACTGTGATAAACATTCTGGGTGTTTTTCGCTGGCACAGGAGCGGAGCAAAGATGGGGCGACCCGTTTGCTATGAAGCTGAAACTAAGACTACCAGGCATCTAGCACCTATGGCTCCCCAAGACATATAGTCCCTAGACCCTAATTTTCAAAGACCAATCAGCATTCAATGGGTAATATGGTCAGTGATCACCTTGCTAAGCTCCATGAAAGACATGATCTATCTCTTGAGTGAGTTGAAGTGTCCTGTAGAGAAAGACATTGACTGACTTCTGGTGTCTCTATGATAGTGGCCAGGTTACCCAGAATCTTCGATGACCAACTTGCTAAGCTCCGTGAAAGACACAAGCCATCTTTTAAGTGACTTTCCCGTGGAAAAAAGAACTTAGTGTGTCCCAAGGACAGAGGACCACTTACTAAGAAACTTCAGTGACCGACGGTTACTGAGATTTCTGTCAAACTATTAAGGTTTTGATTTGCAGCCTCCTCATATATGATCTGATAAAGATCACACATCACATTATCTCACAAACAGCAAAACTTCACAAACTTACCAAAAGCCATGGATGATTTAGGATATCTGCAGATGTGATTCTTTTGTCTGGATCAACTACCAGCATTTGTTTGATCAAATCAACAGCTGTCAAAACAAAAAGATAAATTACAATCTTGTGTAGTTAGGACACAGTAAAAGTAAGTTGCCTGCACCTGCACCGACTCCACCTTTCTCCTTTCGTGACCTTTTAGCTCGTGCACTGCAGAGGGTGGACCTGCATAATACAACAGGACTCAGACGGTCCTCAGAGACAACAGCATGCGATGAACACATCACAGTCTTCTATCACAGCAATCCATTGTTCTCAAACAAGGTGTTTTATCAATATAACATGCATCCACATAATCTTAATTACTCACTGTCACAAGCAGTCTGCTGAGAAACCATCGAACCGGCTGCTTTGAAATCCCAGCTAAGTGATTTTGTGTAGTATTGTTTGATTTGTATGTGCTGATGAAGGCTCCATAGCCGCAACGTTCACATTTTGTTTGTATTTGTTACATTGTGAAGCTTGCTAATAATATACTTTTTGTTCAGTTTTATATCTTTTCTTGACACTGTCACAAGCAGAAATGGAAGACATCTTCTAGTTCACTACAAAACATCCATGAAGCTTTCCCTTCACAAATAAATCTATTAAGCCGCACCAACAAACTGTCATCTAATCACAATTTGCTGTTTCATTCAGCCCAGACTAGATTTTGATACACAGCTAAGCATACCACTTGAGGCCTTACTTACAACGGAACCCACAACTTTTTCTCCAATTATATATCTCTTTTTGGTGCGTACGCACACACACATACAGACACACAAACTCATACATACACACACCTTCACATAAACACACACATACATTCACACACACATATTTACACACATACCTACATACACACACATATCATGTGTAAAGTAAATATGCCCAGTCCTCGTGCCCCATTCCTTTAAGACTGTGATGATCTATTTTCTCTCACTCCAAAAAGACGCTGACCACATCAAGCTTCTTATGCATCAATTTCTCTACAAAACTTTCTGCAGAGAAATTGCAGGTATTTTCTCACCTGTTGATGATACATTTTTCCAATACTGCTTCAGAAATGTATAATGTCCTTCCATGATCTGCTTTGGAAGGTCCATATCTTCACGTTCATCAGAAAATGGCGAGTATCCTGACAACCTTTATTGAAGAGCAAAAAAGTTTAACTTTCTGTCAAGGGCATTTGTTACTTAACTACTAATTTTTTAAATTTTCTATTCTATCTCTATGTGGGTTCCTGCGCCCCATGTGGGGGATGGGGGGGGGGGGAGGTGGAGGAGAGAAGAACAGATCTACTGAACACACCCCCCCTCCTCCCGCAAGCATATCGTAATAGTTGACTAACCATACAAGCTCCCCCCTTTCATCAGTAGCCAAGGAAGAGTTGTCATACTACTAGTACCATCTGGACCTGATTAAAAATTCGGCTGTTTTTCCCTGAGGGTAGAAAATCTGTCAGACCCTCTGTTCACCCCCTAGCTCCATACTCTGCTTCATTTGATCCCAGAGACATTTCACTGTGTCCGCTTCATCATAAAGCAACTAATCTATCAGCCTGCTCGTTACCACATACACCTGAATGTCAAAACATATAGTATGTCAATGAATAGAATGTGAGATGCACAGAGTATGAGACGGACTAACAGTTAACAGCCTGATGGCAGTAACTGCAAAGGGGCTAGTTTAATCTTATTCTGCAATCTGTGGAACCATTTTCCACAGTGAATAAAAAAAATACTACTGTCATCTCACTACAGAATACATGCCATTTTAAACATATAGTGCTGGGAAGGCTAACCCGGTCAACAAATGCCTGCAGAAGTCGGATGTGCTGGCCGAAAGGTGCAAGTATTGCAGTCATTTGTAAACGGACACAACACAATTACATCTTCGGATGAAAGCAGAAGAAGAAGAAACATATAGTGTATTTCCCTCTTGATTCATTACAATTATTATACTAAGAATCAGGGCGTATTTACTCAGAATTCTGACCGTATGCAACAAGACACAGTACTGGTGCCTTTTCTGTTTTTTAAAGGCATCCTTTTTCATCAGTACTGTAATGGATACTTTATGGCATGGACAGGCACCTTTGATTAGATATCTTGTGGTGAGTACCAGCACCAGAAAAAAAAAAGCCTCAGCTCAGAATTATTGTTTCCATTTGGGTACAATCAGAGCACATTTCAGTGTTTGTAATATATGGTTGTTGTCAATAATGTTTATTACTATCTATTAAAAGATTAATGGGAGTCGCCGTGGCAGAGCGGCTAGACGCTCACTGCGGATCGGAAGGTCGTGGGTTCGCTCCCTGGCAGAGCCGGACTTGTTCAAAAAATTACCTTGACTTCCAGGTCGACCCAGCCTTAAGTGGATACCGGGTGCAGTCTCGGGAAGTAAAGGCAGCCAGCGTGATGCTGATCATATCACCCATCTTGGGCTGATTGATCTATAAAAATATAGGTCTAGCCCTATATGCCTGAGCTACAAGGTTTGTCAAAATAGAATGAGTCAATTAGTAAAATGCAAAGTAGAAGTGGTCTCCCTCATGTGGGTTCTGGGGTCCCATAGAGGGGGCAAACAAGAATAGACCCATTGCCTGCCCAATAGCATGTCGTAAGAGACAACTAATTGGCAGCTTCCTTCAAAGTCAGAATACATCTGCCTGAGAAGCAAGGAACCAACAGACTGCATGCAAATGAGTCAGACCTGTGAAACAGATGTACACGCAACACTCAGGTTCTGGAACAGGACTGGAGTCGAGAAGTGGACAAACAACCAGAACTTTCGGCCGGAGTTTACAGCCGGTGAACGCAAAGAAGAAGAAGAATTGGTCTGCTTGTGAAGAGTGTTGGCAGTTGCTGGGGCTGCATTCTAATGAGAAAGCCAAATCATTTTATCTTGTTTCTCAATGAATAGTTTATGGTTTTGCTCCCAGTCTGTGTGTCAGTATCATTTCTCACTTTGTCACAGATGGTTAAGTTGTGGGCTTTTCTCTGGTATCTCAGTTGTTATATAAGTGCACTGGCTCACTGGCATCTTGTTTCAGTGATATTTAGTGGCAATGGTGGAAATTGACGATGATGAAGATGTTATAGCCTGTAGCATAATATAACACTATCGTCTGGAAAGATGCCGCCGAGTTTGCTACTGCTTTCTAAATGGTTTAGCCCTCATGCCACCACAAAAATCAGTGCAAAGTAGTCTGTTACATCATGTGCAGGTGAGTTGGAACCTTGGTATGCTAGAATTTTGAAACAGCGATCAATACACCTAAACCCCTAATGCCGAAAAAACCCTAAACTAAAACTTTAATATCTATTATCTAAGATATTAAAAAATACCAGTTATAACCCAGAAAGTTTTAACTGTTGATTCCGAACCCAGGTCCGTTGAAATTAATAATCTGTGCTCATAGCCTCTACAGCAGAGTCCAATGCAAAGCCTATGAGGAGTGGAAAAGCTCAAGAACTCACATGACAAACAAAATGACGCCCAAACTCCAACAGTCTATGGCTTTTGTGTATGAGCCACTGCCTGCGGTTAACAGGATTTCAGGAGCCAGGTAGGTCGGTGTCCCACAGAAGGTTTTCAGCATTGATCCGGCATCCACAAACTTAGACAGGCCAAAGTCTGTAACCTGAAGGAGATATTATCATACACCGTAATGGAAGCCCAAAGTCTGTAACCTGAAGGAGATAAATATCATACACCGTAATGGAAGCCGTCTATTCTCTCTGTCTCTCTGTGTGCACACATGCATGCACGTGCGTGCACATGATTCTTACTCTTCTTCAGCATTCCCTTGAGCCTCTAAGGTTCAGTGCTGCAGTTTTCCCTGTGTGGCTTCCAGGGCCAAACAAGAACTTTCTGCTGTAGTTTACAGACAATAAACGCAAAGAAGAAGACAGCTGCTGCAGATATCAACCACCTCCATTGATCACTGCGACTGGCCTTGTCTCTCCGTTTGGTGACTCCAAGTGTCTGTCTGTCTCTCTGCCGAAATACTATCACATTAATTAAGACTTTTGTTTTTGTTTTAAAACTTACCTTGACTCCTAGGCTGACCGAACCTTAAAGGACTACCAGGTAATGAAACGCCCTGGGAAGTAAAAGTGACAGATTGTGATGTTGACCCATTTACCCATCAGAGCATGTGCTCTTTTATTTATTGGTCAGTACTTCTCATATGGCAGCGTCTGTGGCTTAGGGGTTGCGAGTCCGACTCGTAATTCCAACGTACGGCGATTACCCACCTAGTGGCCTGCAAAAATATGGGTGCTCTTCCCATATGCCCGATGCACCTACTTTTTTTTGTTTTTACTCCTCACATGACCGACATGATCAACTGGCTGGCGCTGCACCACGTGGTGGTAAATTGATGTATGACAAGTTAGATATTATAAGGGCCCTTTGGGAGCGAGTGAACAGTGCGGAGGCGCAAACAGATTATTATGGTCTGAGGAGAATGGCGCTGCGAGGAGTTACCAGGGGATCTGGCCGACGTCCAACACTCAGGGGAAGGATGAAACGGATATACAATCAGACGGTTACTGGTACCATCAGAATTGGAACGCTTCGCTTGCTGCTGAAGATAGGGACAGACGGGTATTTATCTCTTTGCCTTCCTCTTGCTCTCTTCCCAGTTGTTACCAAGTTCTTGAGTTCGTTCCTTCTCATATGTTAAAAAAAAATACTGACTGCCTAAGTCTAATTGTTCTGATAAGTTTACAACTTTTATCTGTCTCAATGAGGACTTCTTTTTCTTCTTTCACTTGAAATAGATTATCTCTATCTGCAATGTTGTCTCTAGTATGAACTTCACTGTCCTGAAGCTGCGCACCGGACCTGAAGCTGCGCACCGGACCTGAAGCTGTGCACCAGACCTGAAGTTACGCACCGGACCTGAAATTGCGCACCGGACCTGAAGCTGTGTACCGGACACAACTAAATGGTAGCCAGAATTTTCACATCTCAATGAGGACAGCTTCGTTTGTTTTTCCATCCTTCCATGATATTCTTTGCATTCTTCTCAGAAATCACATCTCTGTCCCGAGTCAATGTTTTTCAGCTGCAGTTACATAACCAAAATTGTTGTTGGCACCTTTCTGTCTTTCTAGACAACAGTGTTATACTGTGGGATGGGGAGGCATGGGACTCACAGCCTATGGCGACGGCGAGTGTGACTAGCAAGACCCGCTTGTGTTAAGAAAAGTCTCTATAGCACAAAGCTTGGGCAGAAACGTAGAGACTTTGTGTCACCCATGCATCCTGATCCCTTCTCAGCCTGCCTTGTTTGCTGCAAACGAAAGGTAACAAAAAGAGATGTAAATTACCTTTATCAATGTTTCCAGATCATCTGAGGCTAGCAGGATGTTCTCAGGCTGTGAAAACCACAAATAACTGTCAGAAAACAATCTTGAAAACTGAACAACTGAGAAAAAATATATATGCATCTCATTTTAAAAAAAAAAAACAGTTTTCAAAAACAACATAAATAAACTTCCTTTAACTTCCAACAGTTTTTTTTTGGGGGGGGGGGGGGGGGGGGGGGGGGGGGGGGGGGGGGGGGGGGGGGGGGGGGGGGGGGGGGGGGGGGGGGGGGGGGGGGGGGGGGGGGGCTCAGGTCAGAAGATTATCTGTTGCCCAGAATATGATGGCGTGTAGGGCAATTAGCAGGGTTGACAGATTGGCAGCTGCCATTCCTCTGTGTAGTGATCTACTTTACCCTAAGGTGGACATAGTGAAAGCTCTAGAAGATTAGGGTGCAAACAGCAGCAGAAACATAAAGCACCTTTTCCTGAAGAGAGTGATTCAGCAACGGATCTGGACCATACTCAACGCATCTAAGAAAAGATTGGTGGACTTTCCATCCGGTTGTCAATGGCATCATAAATCATGTGAATTCTTCAATGGTTAATGGTTTACTAATTTAAGAATCAACATCCCAGCACATTGGACATAGCCATAGATGCTGTATCTCCCGCAGCAAACGTCTTAAGGTGTAGATGATAACTGTTTTTGTAGTGCACTGATTATACAACACTGTAATTCTCTTTTCCCAATACTCCCTCCATGCTGGATCTATATATTATTCCTCGTACATACATTGTTACAGATGTTTATTTCATTGGACCTCGTGTCTTTTAACTCACAAATGGTCTTCAGAATGTCTTCTTTGCCCACGATGAGTGTTCCCAAAGCTATTGCACTTGCAGCCAAAAAATCTGCTCTTTAATTCCCTTGCACCCCTGCATATCCTTGACAGTATATCCATGTGTTACTTACTATAAAGGGTGTCGCCGCGGCCGAGCGGCTAGATGCTTGTCGCGGATCAGAAGGTCGTGGGTTTGCTCCCTGGCGGAGACGGACTTTTTTCAAAAATGACCTTGGCTCCCAGGTCGACCCAGCCTTGAGTGGATACCGGGTGCAGTCCCGGGAAAGTAAAGGTGGCCGATGTGATGCTGACCACATCACCCATCTTGTACCGATTGGTCTATAAAAATATAGGTCTAGCCCTACATGCCCTATACACCTAAAGGGCGTGGAAAAGGGCCCTTTACTTACTGTAAAGGCTAACGACGAAAAAAAAAGATGTGTGTGGAAATATTTAAAGTGCAGTTGTACCAATTCATGACTCATTCATTCATCAAAGTACTTCACTGATGACTTGGAAAACTCACAAACACGTTAAGAGAGATTATGCTGCCTGTCTATCAGTATGGAACCTGACTATCACTAGTCCCCAGTTCTTTAAATCCTAGAGTGAAAAATTGAAATCAAAAGTTCTAATAATACAACATGTGCAGGAGAACTCAGCACACTGGATTGAACTGCCTCACACCAGCAAGGAACATGGAGTAAATCAAAGCTGGATATGTGCGAAGAGAATGATATCTATTGCTACAATATGCAACGCTTCACACCATTAACTTCACCTTTGTCCCGGGACATGCTGAAATGAACAGGAAAAAAAAAAAGAGTGGATGTCCTCGCAGCTAATGCCTCTCTCAGAAGTGAAAATGACAAAAAGAATGCTATGAAAGAGTCAATATGCGCTGAAGACCTTAAACATGAAGATAATGACTTCTCCCTGACAAGGAACCAAAGTTTGGGTATATCAATCGAAGCAGCGGGATGTGAAAACCATGAAAAAGCCCATAGCCGCTATCATCAACCAATACTAAAAAAAGTCGTCTACATAAACAGACTAAAGAGCCCGCTGTAAACAGACTAAAGAACATGCCATAAACAGACTAAAGAACATGCCGTAAACAGACCAAAGAGCATGCCGTAAACAGACTAAAGAGCATGCCGTAAACAGACTAAAGAGCATGCCGTAAACAGACTAAAGAACATGCCGTAAACAGACTAAAGAGCATGCTTAGGAGACGATCAGAGCACTTATGGGTATGTTCAATGTGCAATGAAGATGATCTTGAAATGAACAATTTCAATCAAAGAAGTTCTAAAAGCAACAAAAACATTGAGACAGTTTCTGCTAATCAACAGGCAGAAAGATTTTTTCACACCCCATTTCAATGTTAATTCAGCCTTGGAAAGGTTCATTTTTGAGATGCCTGAGAAGCCTTGGTGTAATTACCATGTATATTTCATTTCTAATGCTTCATACGTTTACAGGAGAGTGGCTGCGGCGTTGGCTGCTAGACGCCCGCGTACGGATTGGAAAGTCGTGAGTTCGCATCCTGGTGGAGCCGGAGTTTTTTTAAGAAATGACCTTGACTCCCAGGTTGACCCAGCCTTGAGTGGATACCAGGTGCAGTCCTGGGAAGTTGGCCGGCGTGATGCTGACCACATCACTCACCAAGTGCCGATTGGTCTATAAAAATATAGGTCGAGCCCTATATTCCCAATACACCTAAAGGTGTGGAAAGGGGACCTTTTACTTTACTTTATACATTTACAGCATTATCCACAATGTGATTATTCTTCAGTGACTTGAATAAGGATGATAATTCTAACTCAACCAACAAAAACACAAAATATTTTACCTTTAAATCTCGATGTGTGATGCCTTCGTCATGTAAGTACTGCATATGGGGAAAATACAGATATGAAAGAATTCTCAAACAGCTGTAGATATATATATTAAGGCAGACAAGCATACTGACAGATGGATAAACCAGTAGGCACATAGGTAAGTAGACAGGGGAAGAAACTTAGGTAAATAGATAGGCTGGCAGGAATGTAGACAAGTAGGTAGGTAGATATGCAGGTTTAGAGGTGTGCAGTTAGGGAGGGCAGCAATACGTAGGTACATAAGCAGACAGATAGGTAACCTAGTTGATGTAAAAAGTACGTGATAATTTTCTTACACTTATTCTTTCCTGAAACCTCATACGTGGTTTGCTATGTTGCCACAATATTCGTATTTTATGTCAAGGTTATTCTCACTCCTCATCTCTGACAAAACATGTACACATGAATAGGTCACAAGTCATCCATTCTTTTCATTGTTGCCAGATTTCTATTGCCTACCTAAGCCTTTTTTTGTTGCTGCCTTCAACAATAATCTAGAAAATATTTTCTTTTACAATTAATCAGCGTTTTGGCGTCTGTGGCTTAGGCTTTGCAAATGTGCTTCGTAATGCCGGGTTCGATGCCAGCTGAGGATGATTTGTCTTACGCTGGTTTCAACACTGGTATCAAGAGCTGACTGTTCAGTAAGCAATGGCAAACTACTAAATGAAATATTTGCCTTAAAAAAAAAAACAGCCCCCCAAAAAAATGATGAGTTTGGTTCTGCTACATCCTGTAAAGGATACACAATTTTATATGAAATCTGTATTCCTCCAGGCTGTTATACTTACAATCTACAGTATCACTATTATAGAATATTAAAAGCGTGAGAGTCTGCACAGAAGCAAAGCACTGTTATAGAATAGTAAAAGTGTGAGAGTTTGCACAGAAGCCAAGCCATTCTCGTGAAATGGTTCGCTTCTAGACGGCACAACACAACCAACCCACACGCGTTTGTCAGGTTCGCATAACGTACAATATACGTATAATATTTATATATTTGTCAAACAATGCAAGTTTTTAGTATTTTGCTCTAACATGAATGACTATCAAAAGTTAGTATACTAGCTGTTGAATTACAAATTATAAGGTGCATAATGCCGTATTAAGATTTGACTGCAGGAAATGGTCTAATATTCCTATCTATATGTTGATAAAGAAAACATAAATGTAAAAGTTACGAAAATAACACATACAGATCAAACCTGCTTACTTTCACTGCTGTGGCAATTTGAAAAAAAAGCAGTTTGGCTGTGGCTTCCTCATATCTGCCTATGGACACCACTTTATCAAAAAGTTCACCTCCTTCAACTCTGCAAAGTATCACCAGCAACAGATTACACAGATTTAACCCCTCAATGACTTCATTCCATCCACACCATTAGAAAGGAATGTAGTTAATCAGATCATCAAATAAACAGGTAATTTAATGGAAAGATGGACAAACAGATGAGCAAATAGACTAGGGTTATTCAATTAAATTGACTCAGGGACCAAAGGTTTAAAAGCATTGAGAGATAATTAACAGAATACAACTGTCAATGATCTGCGGGCCTCTTGCTAGGCCTGTGGGCCAGATTTGGCCTGCGGGGCACCAGTTAAATATTCCTGGTATAGACAAATAGACAGATTTTTAAACACAACAGTTTGACTATCATTTCCCAGAATTAATGAACACACAACCATTTGCCTATCCAATCCCAGAATTAATTAACAGACAACTATTTATATATCCTTTGCCGGAATTAATGAGCAGACAACCATTTGCCTATCCTATCTCAGAATTAATGAACAGACAATCATGTGCCTATTCTTTCACAGAATTAATGGTCAGACAGCCATTTGCCTATCATTTCCCAGAATTAATGAACACACAACCATTTGCCTATCAAATCCCAGGTCCAAATCCTAAGTAAGATAACATATTTCTTTTAGTCGGAGGCAAAAATAAAATCTTAACCTGCACAGTCTGTGGCAACAGCAGTAGCTATGCAGCCCTAAATCCTCAGGCCCAAAGTCCCTTCCCTCCGCCACCCCCACACTGCAAAAGTGGCAAATACAGGGTTTTTGGGAAAGGGTGGGGGGGGGGGGGGGGGAATAACTGAAAAAAAATATTAAGAATGCAAATGTAAAATGGGAGAATAATGCAACTTACAATTCCAGAACTATGTACAGCATGTCAGAAGTGTCGACAACATCGACAATACCAATGATACAGGGCTGAAATGAAAACGACGAGGCATCTTGTGTTTAGAAGCTGTCTCCTGACAAAACATGCTTTCACTCACAGCCAATCATTATTAGCACATTTAAAACATATCAGAGGGTCTCCTTGATAAAAGAGTTAGGTCTATTAGTCCTAAATGGCGCTAGTTAATACCAGAGAGAGACAAGAATGACATTCACTAAACTAATGGGTATACGACTTCCACAGGGATCAACTACACAATCCTTGTAGGAGCCAAATTTTTTGTCTGGGTGTTTTTTAAAGATTTCTTGAATTAACATGAGATATCTTCTTCTCCTCTGCGTTCACTGGCTGCAAATTCCAGCAGAAGTCCTGGTTGTTCGCCCACCTTCGGACTTTAGTCTTGTTCCAAAACCTGGGTGTTGCAAGCCCATCTCTGTTACAGATCTGGCTAATCTATGTGCAGATTGTTGGTTCCTTGCCTCTCAGGCAGATGCACTCCAAAGGATGCCTATAAATAGTCAATAACATGCTTAAAAAGGAGGCAATGGGTCTATCTATATCTTCCCTACCATGGGGCCCCATAGCTAACATGGTGAAAAAGAAGAGATATAAAAATATACATAACGTATTGATTGGTATATAATATCCAACCACACAGTGTGTGTTGCTTGGGACAAAAAGAGTTAAGCCAGTATTTCCCTAACTTTTCTTAGCCGTGGTGCCTTTTTTTTCAAATAAAACTTTTCAGCGGCGCCCTAAAATAGTAGAAGTATGAATATTCATCGTATGTAAGAGATAAAAAAAATGAAATAATACTCGTGTATCTTAAAATATTTTGCAGTGCCCCTGTAAAGAGCCAGTAGCTCCACGGGGGCACACAGTTTGGGAATCACTGAGTTTAGCCATTTGCCTCATACTCTAAAGATCGTGGCTTCATTTTGCACTGTTCCATTAAACTCACGGGCGTAACTATTATGCAGATTCCTGGGGATCACAGATGCAGCTAGAGACTTCAGATTCAGTTTCCATCAAACTCGGAGTACATCTGCCTGGGAGGAAAGGAACCAAAAGTCTGCCCAAAGATAAGCCGAATCTGTGAAGCAGATGTGTAAGCAACACTCCGAATTTGTAGGAAACATCCTTAATTAGCTGCATTCTACAATGGGGGCGGGGGGTGGGGCAATGAATCTATTGTTTGTTCTCCAAAATGGAGATTTAGAACCCACACGGGGAAGGTGTTGGGTTCCCACATAAAGTGATTTTTAAAAGATTTTTTAAATAATTAATCTTGGCTCGCAGGCTCATTTACCAACACATTGGCAAGACCTGGAGAAAATATCCAAAGAACTAACTAGCCAGGACCTATGAAGCGATGCTAGCAACTGCAAGATCCTAAGGTTAAGTAAAGGCCGCTAGTGTCATACGGACCACAAGATCCATTCAGTACCAAACGGTCTATAAAAACATGAATTTAGCACCACTAGAATTCTTTGCTTCAGGGCATGGAAAGAAAACTCCACCTTTACATAATTTTGGCAGAGCTGGCATGGTGCAGTGGCTAGATGCTCACCTGCAGGTTCTAAGGTCATGTGTTCAAATCCAAATGGAACCAGACTTTTTTTTAAAATTATTATTATTTAAAAAATGACCTTGACTTCCAGGTCAACCGAGCCTTAAATAGGTATCAGATAAAGTTCTGTGAAGTAAAGGCTGCAAACAAGATGTTGATGACAACACCCACTGAGCGCCGATTGGTCTATAAAATATAGGTGTCCAATAATACTGAAGGCGGGGAGAAGTGTCCTTTTCTTTTATTTAACACAATTTTGGACTTTACCTGCACAAGAAGCAGAAATATTACATAACGAGTGACACAAATTAGAAATATAAGTACTCACATGTTTTAAGGCCTTCAAAATTCTCACTTCACTCATAACTTTGGATTCATGATTCTGAAAAATATTTGTGCATAATGCATCAATGCTGGCCAAATCATCCGACCATGCAAAAAACAACAAAAAACACAAATTTGGCAAATTAATATTTGACATAAGAGACTAAATTAAACCAATTTCAGGTATGAAAAAAGAAAAGAAACTCTCGCAATGTTTGATAATACTAGAAATGAGCAAGTAGATTGATTAGGCCATATAGTATGTTTCCTCAAGGTAATATTGTCCTTTTGCCGGAGAGACAAGGAACCAACAGTCTGCATACAAACTAGCCAGATGAGAAAAATGAACGTGTATGCAAAACTCAAGTTCTGGAACAAGACCATAGTCCAGAAATGCACAAACTACCAGAACATTGTAGAGTTTACAGCTGATGAATGCCAAGAAGTCTTTCCCTTGCTATTTTTCCACCAAGTTCAATTCAAAATTTCAAAATTTCAGAATGCAGATAATCAAAAGACTTCAATAATGAATAAGATACTTACAATTTGCATCTTTTCATTGCCTGTAAATGCCTTTTTCGAAATGATTTTGCAAGCATATTTCTCACAGGAACCTTTGGCAAAAGCTAACCTAACTTCACCACAAGTGCCCCTGAAAACAGAATTACAGAAATTATTATCAAAAACTGAATGACAATAAAAAAAAAAGACTGATAACCAGTCTTAGGTCTGATTAAACAAAATTAGAGTGTGTTACTAATGCCAAGCGACTAGAACTACAAGCTCAATCTTCTTCTTCTTCAGCATTTCAAGCCCTTGAGGTTCATTGCTGCAGATTTATCACCTTCCTACATTCATCTCTCTGGTTGGTCTTCTCTGTCCAGTTGGTGGCATCAAGTGTTTATAGCTCTACTTGGATAATATCTCTCCATCATTTTCTTTTTCTATGACCACTGAACTTCCTTATGTAGACCATTTTTTTACCGTTGTGCTCTCCAACATTCTCTCAAAATGCCCCAGCATCTTAGTCATCTTGTAATAATAAAAATATCAGGACGAAGCTCAATTCAGAAACTTTCGGTATGGCTGTCTGCGTCCTACATGTCACAAATTCAATGATTGTCAAATCTGGTCACCAAGGGATGTGACCGGAAATTCAACGATCGTCATTTAAGTACGTTATTTGGAGGTGAAAAGTTCCATTTCCGGCACAGTAACTATAGCTTTCGATTGTTATGTTGTGTAGTTTGTCCTTCTATCTTTCTACTTCTTTCTATGATCACTGTCTGCTTGTTTATTATATATAATGTTTCAACTGCTTCAATGGTTCCCCATCTGTTTATTCACATAGACAGCAAACTGATTAACAATGTTTGGGATTAATTCAGATTAATTCAAGAAAGGCGAGAAAATAAATAGAAACGTCTTGACAATTGCTGATGTCAACAATTATAAGACAAAGAAGATGACAAATGTACAGTGAAACCCGAACAGGAAATAGGAAACAAATGAACTGAGGAAAAAGAGGACAGGTTAAATGAATGCTGATGAGAGATGCCAAATACACTATAATTGTAAAATAGCAAAATTAAACAATTATAGAAATGTCAAAACTACACGGCAACAGAATTAACGATGTTATTGGTATTAATATTGAAATATACTGATGATAAAGAGGTAAAACAAGGAGGAGGAGAAGGAGCTGGACAAGGAATATAAGAAGAAGGAAAAGAATAAGAAGAAGAAGAGGAAGAAGAAGGAGGAGGAGGAAAAGCAGAAGAAAAAGAAGAAGAAGAAGGAAAAGCTGAAGAAAAAAGAAGAAGAAGAAGCAGAAGAAGAAGGAAAAGCAGAAGAAGAAGAAGAAAAAGAAAGGAGGAGGAAAAAAAGAAGAAGGAAAAGAAGAAGAAGCAGAAGAAGATGAAAATGAAAGCTGAGATGTTGAGGAAAAGAAAGGAAGAATGGGAGGGAGATAAAAGAGAAGTGAGACACTCTAAAAAGGTGATCATCAACAATCTTATACTTTATACTGGTAGACACATCTCAAGAACCCAGATTGTATGTTGAGAATGTCTTCAGTTTTGAACAGTAAATGTATCAAAATAGTAAATGATCATAATGCACTAACATACCTCCCTAAGAGACTAGTTAATATGTACTTCTGTGTTAGTTCTGATGGTAAGTTACTCTCATGTACATTTAGATCCATGAAGACATATGCTGCAGATGAAAAAAAAAACAAAAAAACATAAATATGTATTGTTAGAAATGTTATTTTTCTCTTCTCCCTCGTTTCATTTTTGACTTCTCCTTTATTATTTCCCCTTATTTCCTTCTGCTGTTCTGTAGATGTTAGTTAATCGACAGATTATCCTCACTGCACATGGAACAAGTCCATAAGCGCTCAGATCTCATCTTCAGTATATCCCTCAGCATGTGGCGACAGATAACACCAGCTCTGTGTTCGTTTACTATTCTTCTTTGGCTACCTGTATAGTGTTCAGGTTTGGCAGCACCTCTTTTGACCTGAAGTTCTTGTAGTCTTTTGAGTGTGCTGATTCAACGTCATCTACTGAATCCTCTTCTCGTCCTGCCCCCTTAAGAGCACCGAGAATGGTGGCCTGGTCCACTGCTATTCCTGAACCTACTGTGGCCCTGCCAGCAAGCCAATCCGCTCGTTCATTCCCTCTCACCCCAGAGTGTACTGGCACAAAAATAAAACTAATTCCTTTGGGTCGAGATTTCGTCAGCGACTCCAATCATTTTCTTCGAATCGATCCTGTCTCTATCGTCTTAAGCTGAAGATATACTGAAGATGCGTTCCTTAAGCATGCTCATGGAATCCCTTAGAAAACATCTGTAGATGACTTTTTCCATACCATTGGTACATCAGGCATAAGGTAAGTAAAGATACCTTTTCACGCCTTTCGGTGCATCGGGCATATGGGCAGAGCGTCCCATATTTTTACAGACCATAAGCACTCTGTGGGTAATGTGGTCAGCATTACGCCGGCTGTCTTTACTTTCCCAGGACAGCCCATCCTGGTAACCATTTTAGGCTGGGTCGACCTGCGACGTCCCCATACCACGATAAAAATCCACACAGTGGGTTTCGATCGCGGTATGCTGGCTTACGAGTCAGACTCGCAACCCCTTAGCCACGGACGCCGCTAGGCGAAAGGTACTAGGGCCATATTTATATAGACCAGTTGCAACCTCATGAGTAATAGTGTCAACATCACACTAAAGTCAGTCAGCTGGCCCTTTAACGAAAATTGCTCACATCACGTCTGAAAGTCTCTCTTTCCCTAGCCAAATCTCCAGCCCTATGTGCTTTCACAACCAGTGCATCTTCAATGTCTTGTATCCCCCTTCACGGAGGTCCACCTCTGCCTCGTTTTCTGGAAATTTTAGCCTCCAAAACCATTCTCTCCAGGCCGCCATGACATTTAACTTGGCCAGAACACGTCAGCTCTTAGGACAGGATGCTGTTTATGAGCCAATTCTCCTCAATGCTCAGATCATGTAGGATGTCTGTGTTTTTCTTCTTCTTGGTCCATGGTATTCTAAGAATATTTTCTGTAGGTTTTTTTAGTAACATTATATCAGCCACTTTTACTTCCCAAGACATTTACTGGTATATTTTAGGCAGGGTCAATCACAGAGCCTAGGCCAATTATAACAATCTGCCTCAATGCTAGGAAAAACACTATGACATAATGAGCTGTGGCAGCCAGTTCCCTTCTACATCACCTTTCCTCCTCTACTCATCAAGAAAATCACCTACTTTGTAGTATTTACCCAAGAACATTACTGATGGAGCAGGGTCAAAATGAGATACACGCTGGTTGGAAAACACCCTGCCATATCTGGGTTGGTCATGTTCTCAGTACACTTGTTTCCATAGCGAGGTGCACACATCATCTGGTACAGTAATTATAGCTTTTGATTTTTATGTTGTCTAGTGTGTCTTTCTATCTTTCTACAAAATATTTCAATTTTTTTAGACTAGATGTTTACTAACCAATCAATGTTCAGATCTTTTAAGATTCTGAGAATCTTTCTATAACATTTTAGGTACAAACTCATTTTCTTCCTTAATGACCAAGACAGCTACGACTAACATCTGTATGTCTGCACAGAAAAGATGCATGCCCTCAAATGTTAACCTTGATTTCCTATATACTTTTAATGCTGTTTAATGGCAGTGCCAATAATTACCTTTATTTTTCTTCATTGCCAGAGCAATTTCATCGTTGTTCTTCAGTACATACTTTTTGCCTTTACCTGAAAATAAAACAGCAACAAAATAAAACAAGTTGAATAAAATAATTCTGTCACCTTCTGTGTTTGCCCTTAAAAGAGCAAATGGAATGCTGGGTGGTTTATTACTATCCTACCCCAAACAGAGGAAATCTAACGGTCATGGGACAGTCAAATATTTCAGGGAATGGTAGATAGGTTGCATGCAGTCGTGACACATAGGTTGGTTGGGCTTAGGGCAAATTCTAGATGTTTTGGGGTAGTTAAAAGCATCAGAAAGTTGGGATAACCGGTCTTACCACCCTCTAAAATACTGGACTGTCCTGTGACATTATCTGAGGGTTGGATGTTAATAAAGAAACGAATGCTGAGTTGTAGTTGACAGCTAGGCTGTGATATGTTCACTTTTTAGCCCAAAAAACGTGATCTGAGCAAACCTGTAACTTGTTGTCACCTTTATAACATGCTTGTTAGGGAGTTGTGGGTCATTTAACCCCCCCCCCCCCAATGTTGACCCGGAATCAAGGAAAAGATCAACATCTTATGTGTTTTAAGTAAATAACTCTCAAAGATTGTCTACAGTATTTTATATTAGTCCTGTGTGGGTTCTGGGGCCCCATTGTGTGTGTGTGTAATCTGGTAATCTTAGTTTCAGCTTCATAGCAAACGGGTCACGCCATAGTTGCTGCGCTCCTGTGCCAACGAAAAACACACAGAATGTTCATCACAGTCCCTTTGTGGAAAGATTGACAGACTGCTGTCACATTAAAAGCATACAGTAGCCATCTGAAGTGCTAACACAAACAGTCCAACATTAGAAATTCAGTTCATCATAGATGGTAGCAGAATTCACCAACAGATCAGCAGTCGGACCTGCGATCAACTTTAATCACATAGGGGTACCAATAATAGTGTGACAACAGGAATCACACCATTTTTTGAATCTACAATTCACACCACCACATTGGTCACAGTCGAAAAAGTCCAGCCACTCACCCAACTCAGAAGGCTGGGCAAGGAAACTTTATTCCTTCAGTCTACAAATGGAGCAAAAATGCAACAGCTACTGTCTGGCAGAAGCAAAAAATTTGCCACAGTGGCTGTACCTAGCGTCCAATTTGACAGGAAGTATTGTGTATGTGTTTGTGTGTGGGGTGGGGGGGGAGGGGGGTGAATAAACGGCCCTCTCAACAAGCATGTGTTTAATGTCAACTAATTAGATGTTTCCTTGAGTGCAACTGTGTGTGTGGGGGGAGGGGGGGGGGGCTAACAGATTATCAATAAACCAATAAAATGGATTTGCACGCAAAAATCAAGTTCTGCAACAAGACCAAAGTCCAAAGGGGATGAACAGCCAGAAGTCTCTGCCGGAGTTTACAGCTGGTGAACACGAAGAAGAAGAGGAGGCATCAATTTCATATCAGGATATTTTTGGGCGGACTTATGGATATTTGTAGACAAGCTGGGAAACAAACATCCAATCACCGTGAAAATGTGGTCTCCTATAAAAAAAAAAGAATACCACAGATGAAACAAATGAAGCTCTCTGTTGACAAACACAAGTCTTAGTCTTAGTCAAGGTTTTAACTTCAATGCAGTCGGGTTTCCCCATACTTGCTCTGTTCCTGTGACAGTGAAAATCAAATAAAATGTCCTTAACTGACAAATTTGAAAAACTGATGAACAAACAATTAGTAGCGATACAATCCACAAATATGCGCATGAAGTAAATGCAAATGGCAGTTGCTAGAGACGTCAAAGCCGTCGGCACCAGAAATGCAGTTTGTTGTTAATAGAAGTAGTCAGGCACAATTAGTTAGCTATACACATGAAAATTTTTACATAAGGTGTTTCACCAGCTCACATGAATACCGGCTACTGGGCATATTGAATACCACGACACAATCGCTACATAAATTAAAAACATTCCACACGAAAAAACACATCTTACAGTGCAGCACCAAGTGCTAAACTCAGTAGCACAGGCAGCGAAACCGTAGACTATGGTCTATATGTGGAAACTGCTTTAGCAAAGTGCTGTCGAAAGCAAAAATAACTTCTAAGCTTAATATTCTGCCATGTCTAATAGGAAAACAATAAACTGATTGATTAGAGAAGCAGATACGGAAAGTGAAAGTTGTTTCAGAAGGTTATGACAGAAAAAAATTTTAAAAACATTTTAACAACCTGAAAACTCAAGGAGAATATTCCAAGAACACTTTATTGATAGCTTGGCCACCTGACATTATCAGGACAAGAACAAAAACCCGATTTGAGACTGGGCAGAAAAGGCTGCTGGTGTTAACTATGTTATATTACCGCTTTCGACATCACTGCACATTCGTGAGCATGGTCAGTCCTCTGATCCAACAGCCACTTCAAGGTGCCTCTAATATTTCCCATTAGAATCTTGTTATAATGCCTCCTTTTCTGACCTCAAAGACAACATAGACATGCTTTACCGAGCTTTACTACAAGGAACCCCGTGTGGATTCTGAGGTCTCATTGAGGGGAAAACAAGAACGGACCCACTGCCTCCATAACAAGCATGTCGTATGACTTGGCTAACTGGGTGTTTCCTTCGAAGTCGGAGTGCATCTGCCTGAGAGGCAAGGAACCAACAGTCTGAATATACAAAAGTCAAATCTGTCAAATGGATGAGCACGCAACACTTAGGTTCTGGAACAAGTCTTAAGTCCAGAGGTGGGTGAAAAAAACCAGAACTTTCCACCGGATTTCACAGCCGGTGAATACGAAAAAGAAATATAAGGAGAAGAATTGTTAGCTAAAAGGCTGCTTTTTGGCACTTTTCTGTCTTTGCCGACCGCAGTGTTCTGCTGCACTGGTATAAGATTCGCAGTCCATGATGATACCAGTTAGCAAAGCCTGGTCAGTATTGTAGAGATGAAAGGTTAAAGTCAAGAGGACTGACTTCATTGGACCGGGTTTTAACCCATATGGCTCAATTTCCCTCTGCAGACCAGCTAGCTTCCGAGACAGAACGCAAAGCACAAACTCCTAGCTCTGGCAACGATCCCCAGAGATCTCCGTAAAAATTGCACTCTTGAACTGAACGACGCAGCTGTGATGCGAGCCCACAACCTTCACAGCGGGGGGCAAACAGCGTGACCATTTTGCCATGCAGTAAGATTCCTTACTTAGCCTGCTTTGATAACTCTAATGGAAAGATAACACTAATATGTTTAGAACAAAGTAGTGCTCTGTGTCCAAACAGCAGAACATCTGGGAGAAAGGTGAGAGGAAGACCAAGAAATAGACAGATAAATGGTGTAGCAGAAACCTGCAAAAGGATGAACAAATCCATCAACCAAACCACCCGAGAAGTGCAAGATAAATACAGAAATCCAAAGAGCAGAACAAGTGGGAGTAAGGGGAGAGGAAGACCAAGAAAGAGATGGATAAATGGTGTAGCAGAAACCTGCAAAAAGATTAACAAATCCATCACCGGAGAAGTGCAAAACAAATACAGAAATCTGTGACCCATTGGCTACAACCTGGTATCGGTGAGATGACAAAAGAAGAAGAAAAAAAGTGCTCTGTGTCCAAACACCACAGCTCTCCTCCTAGACCAAGGGTACCATAGAGGCAATGACCAGCACAGAATACAAAGCAAACTGTGGAGCTCATAAAAAAAGCTAAAATATCCTAACACTTCCTCTTCTCCAGTTCTGTTTTGCCAGAGTCAGATTTAGAAGTGGCATCAGGTGGAAGCCTTAGTATATGCTACGTAGATGCTGGTATTTAGGCCTTGGATATTCCATCTATCCATTTTTTGCATGATCTACCTCTAGTTCTGCCTCCCTTATCTCTAAAAGACAGGGCTCTCTGCGGTGCACTATCTGATGGCAGTCTTGACACATATCTGAACCATCTGTCTGCTGTGTCTTGATGTAGTTTGGTACTGATTTCATCCTAACTTCTTTCCTGATATCATAATTTCAGATCCTCTCTCTTCCAGTCACATTTAGACAGTTACAGGCATTTTATTTCTGTTGTTTTGATTGTTTTATTTTATTTTAACATTGAGAAAGAAATTAAAATAAACAAACATGCAGTGTGAGTACCTACCAACTTTCTGCCCATTAACAAAGGTGCCATTACTGCTGGTATCTTCCAAAAATATATGAATGCCTGTTCGTGTATCTGCCTATTAATGAAACAAATAACTAATTCAAAACAATTTATATAAAACAAATGGCTAAGCAATTTATAAAAGACATAACATAACCCTTGACCCATCAGGGTCGTGGAGGTGTATCGATGGAAGCACTAGCACATAAAACCCGCCATCTTTCTCTGTCTTCTGCTTGATGAATAAATGTATGATAACTTAGTCCTGTTCATTTCTTGATGTTTTCATTCTGGGTTTTTTGCCCTCCATTTCTTTGACTACCCCCAAATGTTTCTTGAAGTACAGTCTTTGCAACTGAATCATATCTTACCACATGCTATAAAAGACATATCTCCTCATATATTGAGAATACATTCACCATTATTATCATGGAGCCACTCAAGTAACAGAGTATGGGAGCCAAGGTCATTTTTTTTTAAAGTCCGGCTATGCCAGATTGCGAACCTATGACCTTCTGATCCGCGGCGAGCATCTAGCCGCTCTGCCATGGTGACTCCCCAATAGTCAAGAGAGATGTAAAACAGCGTTCACTGGGCTTCTAGGTAGGAACCTATGAACGTATGATGCATTCCTTGGGGCTCAAAGAGTTAATAAGTTCAGCAAATAAGCTAAGTAAAATACTTTAATAGAGAAACAACAAGATAATCACCCTTGATAACCGGAAGTGAATTTTGCTGTAAGCTTGAAAGCACAGGTTATTTTCTGCTGAATCAGTAAAAGAAACATCACAATCTGTTCCTCGTCCAAATGTGTAATCGCTGGACACCAATTCTGCAATAATGATTAATTCAGACAATTATTTTCAAGCTTACGAGAACAAACAGGTTAAAAAAGTGGATTGTTTGGAATTGTAACAATTTGCCAATATTTATTTTTAATTTAAAAAAAGGGTTAAACATTTTTTTTTAACAATCAAGGAACAACTCTCTTACCCATTATTTCACTTATGTTTTTCCTTGCACACAAAATAAAAACAGTAAGGCTACAAAAGCAAACTTGGATATACATTTTAAGTTAGTTTTTGCACCAAAGCACTTTACATATACCTTCAAATGAACATAATAAATTAGAATTGAAATTTAAAAAAAAATAATGCACACTAGGGACAACTCACTCGCCTGTGGATGGGAAGGTCATGGATTCGCTCCCTGGTGGAGCCAGACTCTTTTCAAAAAGTAAAAGGACTTTGGCTCCCAAGTCGAACTAGCCTTGAATGGGTACCGGGTGCAGTCCCTGGAAGTAAAGACGGCCGGCGTGATGCTGACCACATCACCCATCTTGTGCCGATTGGTCTAACAAAACATATAGGTCTGGAAATTGAAAAGAGTAGCCCAACGGCTCTGCCCGGGCAATAATATTTGGAGTTAAAAATCTACCCAAAGTATTTGAGATTTTAGAATCCTTGCCGGTGCTTCAGAGACTGTGCTGAGCTTCTTCGGACTAAGACTTGTTCAAGGGCTATTGCTTTCAATACTAGCATCTCATTTAAATCCCAAATCAATAAAGAAAACATCAGTAAGTTACTGTAACAAAGCAGAAAATTTCTCAAAACTTCAACAACAGCAACAAAACCAGAAGCACTTGCCAACTGCAACAAAACTCGAACTCAAAGGAAACAACCTTCCCCATGCCTCATGTCGCTGATTCAACTCGTCCTCACCGGCTCCTGCCTCAGGACTGTCCATGTTTTGTGTTGGTAAACTTGACATATTATAACGTTAAGACGTTTCCTTGACGATATAAACGTAAATATATAAATCTGATAGAACTGCGGTTAGAACAGACAGATATTATTAATCATTTTTGATTTGGTAACGTTCTGTGTTCTCCATTCATACAAAAAATGATAAACCGGATGTTGTTACAGAAAAAAAAAACGCGCCGGTTTTAGGGTCAAAGGCTGAGGGGTCATAGTTTACGTTACCCAATAAAAGGTGGCTGCTAATCAAACGGTATGCCGTCTTCGCAATTAGGGTTTGTAAGAATCCTATGGGTTCGTGGACCCCATGGGAGGGAGGGAAGGAGGGAGAAGGGTACATAACCACTAATAGCGAGTAATTAGGAATTTGACCGGGGTTCACCCAGCCTCTGGTTAGGTAATGGGTACCAGAGTTAACACTTTAGGGTAAATGTAAGAACGTCGCTGTAGCTACGGAGTTGCGTTCAGGCGGTGACACAGGTAGACAGTTTCTTATCAGCTGTCCGTACTGATGGCAGAGCACTTATGGTTTATAACCGTGTGCAATGACGCTGGTTTACATTTCCCGACTTTACCTTTTTTTGTGAATTTGATCAAATCGGATATGTTTGGTCTGAAAAACATATTAATCGCAGCCTAGCTGTAAACCACAATATAACGAGGCAACAGCCTGTTTAAGAGCGAATAATAATAATAATAAGAAGAAGAAGAAGAAGAAGAAGAAGAAGAAGAAGAAGAAGAAGAAGAAGAAGAAGAAGAAGAAGAAGAAGAAGAAGAAGAAGAAGAAGAAGAAGAAGAAGAAAAAGAAGAAGAAGAAGAAGAAGAAAAAGATGAAGATGAAGATCTCTAATTTATAGTCTTGTTTTTCTTTTCCCCATTTGGTTGTACAGTACTATTATTTTGAAATAGAAACAAGATGTCAACAAGCCAATAAACTTATGTACCAATTAAAACCTCTATTAATACTTAAAACATAAGTATGCGCGCTAAGATTATAAACATAATTTTTATACCAACATTGTGCTACCAGTGCCAGACTTGGACATTATCAAAGGTTTCTTCTTCTTCTTCTTCTTATTATTATTATTATTATTATTATTATTATTATTATTATTATTATTCGTCTTTTCCACCTTGTACCTCATCGAAGTGTCAGGGGGAGATGCAATGTTCGTTGATGAGCTCTGTCAAGAGCACTATTAAGACTGATTTTCATTCTGTAAGGCTGTTCTTAATGCCATCACTCCATATTTTCCGAGGTCTTCCACTCGCTCTATACCCGTTGTAACGTTTTAGTATGGCTTGCTGTGGCAGATAGTACCAGGGCATTATTGTTAGGTGTCCAAACCACTTCATCTGTTGTTCTTTGATGACCTGTAAGACTGGCTTTATTCCTAGCATTCGTCTTCGTATTCTGTCTTTCCTTGAAACTCCTGCAGCTCTTCTAAGGCATTTCATCTCTGTTGTCACAATTTTACGTTCATTGGAGGATGTAAGTGTCCACGTCTGGCATTGATAGCATAGTGTTGGCCAAAAAATAGTTTTGATAAGATTCACTTTAGTACTCCGGGGTATCTGCTTGTGTGTCAACAGGTGACATAGTTGCCCCATTACTTAATTAGCTTTGGCACATCTCGAGCTAATTTCTCTGTCCAGTTTTCCGTCGGATGTGAAAAATTGCTCCCAAATACTTAAATACCTCTGTTTGTCTTAAGGTGTTGTTTTTTAATTTTATTTCTAAATTGTCTTTCTGTCTTCCTATCATCTTCGCAGTGTTTATTTTCATATAATATTCCTCCCCTTTGATACTAATTTGATTTAGGTAGTTCTGTAGGCATTCCGTACTTTCTGTTATGAATACCTGGTAGTCAACGAATAGTAATTCTGTAATATCTTCTTCATGATAAAAGTTCGTTTCGTTACATATGGTATTTATGTATGTTATAAAAAGAAGCGGCGATAGTTCACAGCCCTGACGCACATCAGAGTTCACTATAAAAGTTCTTGACAACCCTGCCTTCGATCTTATGCAGCATTTACTACGTGTGTACAGGCTTTTGCAAATATTAATGAGATGATTGCTGATTCCCTTTTTCCCCATACATTCCCACAAATCATCACGTTATCAAAGGCTAACCTATGTAAAATTAACACCTGTGAAATAAGATGCCTGAGAATAGACGCCAACATAACCATCCGAGACAAAGTTAGAAATGATTTTATGAGACTAGGAACAACACCATGCAGCAATTTAAATGAGAAACAGATGACAAACTGGTTTGGTCATCTAGTAAGAATGCAGCCAGAATAACTACCAACGCTAAACATGAACAGATCTGAAGTCGACATAGAGGTCGACCTTGGAGAAAATGGATTGATGACAAAGACCTTCTACATCGACATGGAATGACAATAGCCAATGTTGCCCATCAAGCATTGAAACAAACTGTTCCTCCCCACAACCTTTAACGACAAAAGTAGAAATTGAGATTATGATGATGAGGTACAAAAATATCACATTTAGTGATGTTATCCCACTCGTGAGGAGTGGCTGGCCGAACGGTTAGAACGCTGGGCCCTCAAGTGGGAGCCCCGAGTTCGAATTCTCGGTAAAGCTGGGGATTTTTTCTGTCGGGGACAAAATAAAATCCTCACCTGCACAGTTAGAGCATTAGTGATGCGGCAGTAATTCTGCCTCCCTTATATCTAAAAGACAGGGCTCTCTGTGGTGCACTATCTGATGGCAGTCTTGACACAAATCTGAACCATCTGTCTGCTGTGTCTTGATGTAGTTTGGTACTGATTCCATCCTAACTTCTTTCCTGATATCATAATTTCAGATCCTCTCTCTTCCAGTCACATTTAGACAGTTACAGGCATTTCATTTCTGTTGTTTTGATTGTTTTCTTTTATCTTAACATTGAGAAAGAAATTGAAATAAACAAACATGCAGTGTGAGTACCTACCAACTTTCTGCCCATTAACAAAGGTGCCATTACTGCTGGTATCTTCCAAAAATATATGAATGCCTGTTCGTGTATCTGCCTGTTAATGAAACAAATAACTAATTCCAAACAATTTATACAAAAGAAACGGCCAAGCAATTTATAAAAGACATAACATAACATACCCCTTGACCCTCAGACTTAAACCCCCCCCCCCACTCCACCAAACCCCTATCCCACCAACCCCCCTACGTCTACACCACAGCAAAATCGGTAAAATAAAGGCAGTCATTGCCAGCTCGTATCGTTGTTTATCCCTTGCTATGACATCTTAAAAGATCTCAACATCAAGGAAGATTGGCTAATAAACAGCATCCTTTCTCGAAAGCTGAAATATTTTGGTCATATCAAGCGCCACGATGGATTTGAAAAAAAATTATAGCAGAAGGCATGGTACCAGGAAGGAGGGGCAGAGCCGACCGACACGAAGATGGGCACAGGATATGGGTGACTCCTTGAATGTGAAAGTGCATGAGGCGGGAAAACTGGCGAGAGACCGAGTTTCTTTCAGGCAGACCGTGATGAGAGCGACGTTCTGCAAAGGACCTGCTACATGATGATGATGATGAGCCTGCCTTCTCCTGTTTCATCCAGCCAATCACCGGAGAGAAGAGAAGAAGAATCACCGAAGTGCAGTCTCCGCAATGACGGTTGGCTGAAATAGCTGTCCACAACTTTCTGCCACTGGAGGTTTGAGGTTTGAACAACGGATCAACATCATGGCACACGGGTAGTAACCCATAAGTGCTCTGTTTTTCTTCTAACTCAAGTCTGAGTCCGAAGAAGCTCAGCACAGTGCACATGCTCTGTAGCACCGGTGAGGATCCTGAAATACTTAGTGTAGATTTTTAACTCCAAATTTTGCCTAGGCAGCGCCGTTAGGATACTCTTTTCTATTTCCAACTGCCAAGGTGAGATTTTTATGTGCGGAACAATGCACACGGGCGTCCGATCTCACTACCCAGAGACCTGGGGGAATTACTAGAAGTTCAAGTCCACGTGAAAAAATCCCAGCCCTTACTGGTGATTGAACCCGGAACCAGCACTGTGGTCAGAATCTCGCCGGCCGTCTTTACTTTCAGGGACTGCACCTGGTACCCACTCAAGGCTGGGTCGAAATGGGAGCCAAAGTCCTTTTTGGAAAAAGTCCGGCTCAACCAGTTAGCGAAGCCACGAACTTCTGATCCGCGGCGAGCGTCTAGCCGCTCGGCCACGGCGACTCCCTATTAATGTATTAGGGCTTTTGGCTCTGCCTGTACGCACCTGTTTTGTTTTTAGGCATCTGATTTTTCAGCGCAACTAAAGTATCAGCACCCTTCCAAGACACTCTGTGATTAGTACCGTCACCGTTTTTTTTAAATCAGAAAACCTCTTGCACTTAGTTTCCTAGCAAGGGTATTCATCTTAAGGACAGGTTAAGCAGGTTGAATTTGATTATATCTGTTGGAAACAATGCTTTCACTCGGCCCTGACACAGATGATCCTATATGAGATATGTCAAACGGGTCCAGAATCTTTTCTCTCCGGCTCCCTCTGCCCCCCCCCCCCCCCTGCCCGACTTTCCTACTGTCACGGTGTACTCTAGTTTTCTCCTTCTAATCACATGAGCAAAGAATGTAGATTGTCTCTTTCTGATGTTGTCAATCAGTTCTCTTCGTGAGTCAGTTTCTTTCAAGACATCCTTTTTTACTGTGTTTATCTGTCCCATGTTATTGTCATCATTCGTCACTCATCTATGAAATTACATAATATTGGTGGCAAGGATATTGGTGAAAATCGTTCATTTAACTACTTTCCGGTACACTGAAACCAGTGTTCTTCAACCTGTCTTCATACACGGCCCACCAACAACAACAAAAAAAAGGGGGGGGGGGCGGGAGAATTGGTTCACTGCCCATTTGACAGCTAACCAAGCACAGAAACAACAGTTATGGTAAGTAAAGTAAAGATCCCTTTTCACGCCTTAGGCGCATCGGGTATATGGGAAGAGCGTCCCATATTTTAC